CTTTAGAAGGATTTTAAAACCAGTCAAGGATGGCTCAATATGTATAGACTTGATGAAACTGTCAGTAGACTAACAAACAGTGCAAACTACGCAGAGCTCCCTGTGCAAACTAAAAGACTTAATGGAAACAATCCAATGGACTCATGGACAATGTGAACCTCGGTCTCTATGACGCTGACTATCTAGAGACGTAGAGGGTGCCCAGTTACCACTGCCAACAGCTCTGAAAGGGGCCACATTAGGAAACCTTGGATAGAGTGAGAGAAAAATATAGAGGAAAACTCAAAATCACAAAAAAATGAGGCTGACTAGCTAGAGATCCGTGGAACCCCTAAGACTATGGCCTTGAGTTACCCTTCCCCACGGAATAAACACAACTCCATGGCTCAGTTTTCAGTCAGCACTGGACAAGCCTATACGGTGCACACTGATCCTTGAGGTGTGTGCGCTCCTTAGCACAATCACCCACACAAGGTCAAAAGGGCAGCATTTTCCCATGGACAAAATTCAGAAGGCAAAAAAAAAAATTCAGAAAGCAGGAAAGGTTCGGGAGGAAAGTTGACTGGGAACTGGAAGCCAGGGTAGAAGGGGGATTGAGTGATAGTACGTTGTGGGAATTGCAATTAATGCAAGGTGACCAGACGTCCTGATTTTTAACAATTTTTCCTGCGTCCCACGGCATTTTTAAAAAGTCCCGATTTTTTGAAAGAATGCACAACAAGCTAGGGTATATGGTTTACGGCTGCCAAGTGGCTATTTCGCCAGGATATGAGTTTTATCAATGGTGTCCCACTTTACCAATGTTAAAATCTGGTCACTTTAAATTAATGACAAAACAAAATGTGTATGAATTGTTGAATGGAAACCAGATTTGCTCTGTAAACCTTTACCTGTTTCACAATAAAAAAGTAAATAAACAAAAATCCACCTGACACTATTTTTTATAATTATTGGGGAAAAGAGCTGTCTTCTAGACCTAGATGAGATGGTAACTTGTGGGGAGAAATGGTTGATAGTTTCACACTAGAAAGAAGGTGCTGAGGAAAGTTAATGACCTGCCTGCTGCTTGTTCTGCGTCTCTTGAGGACTGCAGCCTTGTGTGGAGTCACCCAGACATTTCCACGGCACTGTCTGGCTCTCTGGTGCTACCCTAACACAGTACCCCAGTGGATGGCTTTCACAAGCAGAAACTTACTCTCCCACAGTTGAGGCAGCTAGAAGGTCGCATTCAGAGCACTGCACCTAGGGGAAGGGTTTTCCTGTCAGCTCTGGAAGATGGTGCTTGCTCTTTTCAGCATCTGTGAGTGTGGTGTTCCTTGGAGATCCACGTGGGTCTTGGCATCACTCTGCCCTGGGTTTAAGAGGTCCTGGATGTAGGGACCCTGGGTCCAAAGGTCATGCTCTGCCTCTCACATGTCTTCTTTCTTTTCTTTTTTAAATTTGGATTTTTATTTTAATAATTCCTATTTTAGTTCAAATTATTATTTTTCACTTCCTTCATTTTCTTAGAAAACGTTCTTGATTATAATAGTTCAATGCACATCGATATAACTTCCACATAGATTTAATCATTGTTAGCATATTAGCCACATGTGCAAAATTTTTTTTTAAACTTCGGTCTTTCTTGGTGACAGTAGTCCTGCTCCTCTGCTCACTTCTTCTCCTTTATCGCTTATAAGCTCAAAGGTGGTGCAGGCCTCACCCGAGGGACCATCTCCTTACCTGGGATCAGAGCGGTTCCTGGCAGACGGGTGTGGCGTCCCACTCTAATCCCCTTGAGGACTGAACGAATCAAATCACATCACTGGGGTTGATGGCATCATTCTGTAACTGCTACATTGTATCACTGTGTAACTTTCAAGCCACTGAGAATTATGGCCCAAGTAAGCGGACATATGTCATTGTGGAACACATTTCATAAAAAGGCTAGTCCAAGGGCCCTTAAAAATTATACATATAATAGATATAAAAAGTTTACATCTATAAAATATAAGTGGAATTTTCACATATATATGTATGTGTGTATATATGTGTACACATATACATATATACACATATACCTTTGTGTGTCTATATATACATATATACACATATATCTTGGTGTGTGTGTATCTATATCTATATATCTATATCTATCTATCTATCTATCTATCTATCTATCTATCTATATATATATATATATAATACCCACATATACTCTAGCAGTCAAATGCAATGTCCCGAGGGACAAGTTCCTGAAGCACCTTTCCTGATTTGGTTCCACACTGTTCACTGTAGGAGTCGAGCAGAGCTCCAAAGAAAAAGACGGTGGCTCTCCCATTGCTGACCTCAGACTGCACCACCTTGATGTACCCCAGCGTGCTTATCCAGTGTCAGCCCTGTCCGTCAGTCTGCAGATCTGAGCATGATCGACTTGTTCAAAGCCACATCCATGAGGCGGAAATTCCTCCTTAATTTCCAGGCCTGGATGTTTGATCCTAAGTCTGATGTGATGGTGCTTGAAAGTCCTGTAACACTGCCCATTGCACCAGTTATACTAAAGTTAATGGAAACAGCAATTAAGCTTGAAGAGGCCAATGCGTGTTGGAAAGAGTGTGTTTAGGATTTCAAGATGTGGCTCTTTGAGTTACTTCCTATGACCTGGCTACCCATGGTCTTTTAATTCCCACAAAATGATTCTGTGGGACTATACAAATAAGATGGCCAGACCTTCCTGCCTAGTCTGGGCGCTCCCCAAAATCTGTTCAGCAGGAAAGTTACCTGTAGAACAACACTGACAGTGGGCTGGGTATGCTGAAGCAGAAAGGCAGGCAAGAATTCGACCACCAAACGCCACTGCCCTTCACTGTACAGAAACCCATTCCCCCTCACTACACCCTTATAAAAGGGCGCCCTGAGCATGCTGTGAGGAAGGTGTTGGGCTACTCAAGTCGTCGGTCAGTGGTTGAAACCCACCCCCCACTCCTCTGGAGAAAGACGTGGCTGACTGCTCCCATCAAGACTGACCATCTCAGAGACCCTATGTTGGGTGGCTAAGAATCAACCCCATAGGAGTCCACTCAATATCAGGGGTGAGTACATCCTTATAAAGGAGCCCCACCGGCACAATGGCTAAATGCTTGGCTGCTCACTGCAAGGCCAAGAGTTCCAACCCACCCAACAGCTCTGTGGAAGAAAAGACCTGGCAGCAATCAGTTCCTGTAAGATGGCCATCTAGGAAACGCTATGGGGCAGGTCTACTCTGTCCAGCTGGACTGTGCTGAGTCAGGTTCCACGGTCACAACCCCGCCAGCCTATGAGGATCACCTCTGTTTTCCAGAGGAGGAAGCAGGCCTGCAGGAGGGTAAGTCATTTGCCTAAGGTCACATGTAGAGTAGCTTTCAGGTATGCGTGCCCGGTCAGCCTGCCCCTAAGCTGCCACCCTGCACCACTGTCCTGTTCTCCGCAGAATCTGCCCTCAGGAAATAGTCATAGCAACAGTGGCACTTCCCAAGTACAGACTAGGCTGTGTGCCAGGCTTGGTGCTAACGCTCTGCATCAGTTATCACATGGGTTCTTCAGCTCCAAAACAACCCTATGAGGAAAAGAAAGAGCCAGACTCACTGCTATGGAGTCCGTTCTGACTCACAATGACCCCGTGGGGCACAGTAGACCTGTCCCTGGGGGTTTTCAAGACTGTCACTCTATGGGAGTGGAAAGTCTCATCTTTCTACCTCAAAGAACCTGGTGGTTTCAAACTGCTGACCTTGCAGTCAGCAACCCAACGCGTGACCCACTAAGCATGGAGCTCCTGGGTGAGGAAAGTACCATCAGCACGCCCATTTAGCACACGGAGAAAACAATAAACAAACAAACAAACACGAAGGAACCGGTTTGGGGAAGTTTGGCGATTGCACAGCTACTTAGCGTGGCATGGCTTCCTTGGCTGAAAACCAAGCTGCTAACCCCACGTTGGGATGCTAACCTCCAAGCCAGCGGTTGGAAACCACCCAATGCCCCCACGGGAGAAAGACAAGGCTGTCTACTCCCTAAAGCGGTGGCTCTCAACTTGTGGGTCGCAACCCTTTTGGGGGTCGAACGATCCTCTCACAGGAGTCCCCTGAATCATAACAGTAGCAAAATGAGAATGATGAATTAGCAACAAAAATAATTTTGTGGTTGGGGGGTCACCACCACATGAAGAACTGTATTAAAGGGTCGAGGCATCAGGAAGGTTGAGAACCCCTGCGGCCTCGGAAACCCACAGGGGCACATCTCCCT